AACTATGGCCTGCACTTTTTCCCTACATCCCATCAACAATGTTTTGTATATATCTCAGGAAAAGTGGAGCTTGTTCAGTGGTGCTTTCCACACAAGGCACAGTGTAACTTTCACAATATTTGTGTAGGAAGCAAATGTGTAGATCTGTGGAAAACACTGCCTTGGTTTGGAGAACACAACTAGATGATCTTTGATACACAGACAGTTTCATAGCTGTGGGATCTAGAAAACTGTAAAAGTGCAACAGGTGTTCTGATTAGTTCGGTTCAGTTAGTTCTTAAAAAGCCAAATATTTCATCCTAAACTGTATTTTAATATAAAGTTGTGGGCACTGTTATTACCCCCCCCCCAAACCTAAGCTAATACTGTATTTGTCCCAAGAAACATGGGTGCGAACTAAGGTGGACAAGAGCTGATGTACTGCTATGGGTTGAAAGCATGATCTGGAAATCCTTGCATCTTTTAAATTCACTCCTGCATCTCCTAAATGCAACAGCATGGTAGCAAAAGCTGGAAGTCCTTTCTTTTTACAACACTATGCAGGGGGATGTAGACCTTGTCTTGAACCTTATCAGTACTTTCAAGAGGCTCCTCCAACTTTGGAAACAGGGAGTATGCTCCTCATACATCTTACTTCAAAGCCACTGCAAGAGGTTTCTTGTTTTTGGTTTTCTGTCAGCAGAGCAAGAGAATGGGTTAAGCCTCTGCTGTACTCAGCAAGGAACAATTTAGCCCCAATTTGAAGTAACCCTAGCCCATGTCTGTTCTAAAGTGATGAACTTGTTAGTATTACCAAGAATCCCCAATAATTCTATAGGGTATGAGAATTACACACTAGAGTTTCTTTAAAAACAGAAATTACATTTTCCTTGCAAAATTAGAAACGATCTACAGAGATAAAATTTGTTATTCCTAATTAATTTATAGAACACTGTTCTTATTTAAAAATTAAGAAAAGGCCATGTGGTCCTTAAAATTACACAAACGCAAGATCAGGCGATACCTTAATCAGACCACTAAAAAACTGAGCAAACAGGGCGCTTCCATGAGTCAGGCCTCCTTCTTCAGGTCATGCACCAACCCTTGGTGGAGAGTACAGAACAATGAGGAATGAGAGTTCCAAAAATTCATGGCAGGTGCGTGTGCCAGGTCTGCTTCATAGGTAAAGGTTTCCCTGGACCTTTAGTCCAGTCGTGTCTGACTCTAGGGAGCGCTGCTCATCCCCGTTTCCAAGCCATAGAGCCAGCGTTTGTCCAAAGACAGTTTCTGTGGTCACGTGGCCAGCGCGACTAGACACGGAACACCATGACCTTCCCACCGTTCAAATGCTGGCTGCAAACAGTCTTTGGGGTATGTGGCTTCAATCTTCACCCCTACTAGTGGTTTGACAGGAATTTTCCACCTAGCTTTTCAAACAAAGAACTGCCAAATAATCTGCATGCACTTCTCTCCCCACCACCTGCCCCACCGCCTTGCCTGATTTTGAAACACAAAGTTCTCGACTGGCTGGGAGGCTGGGGAAAAGGCACCATGGAAATGTAGCAACCTCTGTCAGAGAGCTGGGGTTAAAATTTGGTCTACCCTTTGGCAAGGGAAGTCGAATTAATAGTGTTACCTGGTGACTGTAAGGAAATGCTTTCTTCAGTTTGCAGTTCCACTTGGTTCAGAGGTGAATTCACAGCGTTTGAACTCACCTCTAATAAGCAGACCTGGCACAACCACCTGCCACGAATTTCTGAGACTCTCATTTGTAATTTTTCTGCACTATCCACAAAATATTGGTGCATGACTGAAGAAGTAGACTTGACCCACGAAAGCTCACAGTCTGATTCTTAGTGTTCTTATTTAAAGTGCTTTGTGATTCTCTTCTCACTCACCTTTTTGTGATAAACTGTTGACAATTCTATAGCACCATCATATAAATACCCCACATTCACAATTCCAACCTTTCTTCCATCACCTTGGCAACAAAGACCTCCGTTCAGATTTCAACAACCACTTATACTTGCATGAATCTGTACCTCATGTACACAAACTGAGAGGCTGAAACAAGCTGAAAGCAACAGAGAAAACTTGTGACATTCAGGAATCTTGGCTACTGCCATTTTAACCAAGCCACCACAACATGTAGTTCTGAATTCAAAGCATAAACACAATAACAAGACTAACTGACCAACTGTGAGCAAGGAAGGGCATGTGAGGCTAAAGCACACTATCCAAAATCCTGCTACACAACTACATGCACACAACTTGAGGCTACACTCATGGTAGCTGTTTGAGCACCAAGGTGGAAATGCTATCCCCAAAGCACTTCCACTGGCATACTGGACAATTGGTCATACTGAGGACACATGACTGACTGCACAATTGCAGAGTGCAATTCCTCATGTTGGCATAAGCAAGACGCTGGTGATTGAGTGGACAATTCAGGAGAACATTCTGAAACCAACTCAAAGTTGTTCAGAGTATGCAAACAAGCCACTGCAAACTGAAAATAGTCTTGTAGGTCAATCAAAAGAGCCACGTAACTGTAGAGCTGCAGACTATTAAAATATAGTCTAGCCCATTGCTTTGTAAGACATGACCCCTTTTTTCTCTCTTAATGCCTTCAAAAATCTCTCTAGCCTTTGCTAGCATAAAACAGTGCACCAGATGAACAAACATGAATGACTCCTATGAACAGCACTTTAGGCAGCAAATTTACTAATGCTTTGCTATGTAAATATAATGCTATGCAATTCTTTGCTGGCTCCGTCCCTTCTTGGAGGACCACCCCAAGAGAGTGCAGATTGGATAGAGTTTCTCAGCCCCACCGAGACTCAATTGTGGGGTTCCGCAGGGCTCCCGAGACTCAATTGTGGGGTTCCACAGAGCTCAATGATCTCTCCAATGCTGTTTAAAATCTATATGAGGCTGCTGGGAGGGGTCATCAGGGGATGTGGGGCTTCGTGTTATCAGTATGCTGATGACACTCAACTCTACATGTCCTTTTTTCCAACTAAAGTGGATGCTGTTTCGTCCCTTGAGTGCTGCCTGCAGTTCATTCAACAATGGATGCCGGAGAATGGACTGAGGCTGAACCCGGGCAAGATGGAGGTGGGTGGTCTAGACACCACTGGCTTGGGAAACTCCCTCTCTTTTTTGGGGGAGGGGTGACTCTTGCCACCAAGAGTGAGGTTCGCAGTTTGGGTGTACATCTGGACCCGGCACTCACCATGGAAAACCAGGTGGCGTCCGTGGTCCGTTCCGCACACTTCCACCTTGGGCGGATTGCCCAGCTGCATCCTTATCTTGATGTGGGGGCACTCACCACTTTGGTCCATGCACTCGTAGTCTCGAGATTAGACTACTGTAATGCGCTCTATGTGGGGCTGCCTTTGAGACTGATGCGGAAACTTGAGATGGTGCAGAATACGGCGGCTAGACTTCTTACAGGGGTTAAAAGGTATCACCATATTTCCCCCACCCTGGCCGCCTTGTATTGGCTGCCCATTCAGTTCCACATTGATTTCAAAGTTTTAACAATGATATATAAAGCCCTACACAATTTAGGGCTTCAATATCTGGCAGAGCGCCTTCTCCCACTCAGTTCTGCCAGAGTCACTTTGTTCTAATCAGGCCGGGTGGCTGAGGGGCCTAACGCTGAGGGAAGTAAGGAAGGGAAAAAAATGAGAAACCGAGCCTTCTCAGCAGCGGCTGCTGAGAACACCCTCTGGAATAACTTGCCCATGGAGATCCGCCTGGCTCTCTCTTTGGGTGTTTTCAGGAGTTAAGACCTGGCTATATAGGCAGGCTTTCCATCCTGCCGTATCTTTCATTTGGTCATTTTTGCCATCTTAGATTTATCGTATATGTTTATTGGGTTTACTGTTTTTTAAAATTGTAATGCCACCCAGAGTAGACCTTTGGTCTAGATGAGTGGGGTAGAAGTCTAATAAAATAATTTTTTTAAAAAAATGAAGGATCAAGAATTCCCCCCCAAACCTGGATAACACTGTATTCTACACCAAGAACTGCTGATTATGCAGATCAAATCCATCTGTATTCACCCACTTTGTGCTATTTCTTTTTTCCACCTGCTAATCACAAAGATAACGAGAACCACTATATATTCAGAACCCCTACTGCCAAGTCACTGGAAATCCTCTTCATGCTCCCCTCCGAGACTTCAAAAGCCATTCTTTGCATCCCATGAAAGCCATTTAAAATAAAACAAGATGTTTCAAATGATATGGGATTCTGAACCATGTACCATTTCCATCTTTGTATAAGAGAAGCATAAAACTGCAAGGAACAGCACAGTTTATTAGCTCCTTCCCACAGCCTGTGGTGTTCTTCACCACACAGATGACAGGAAGCACTATGTCCCATCTGTAATGCTCTGGATGACACAGTGGACTCCTTACAAAAAACACACGTGTTCTTGTTTTAGCAGCTTCCCATATTTCTGATTCTGTATTCATTAGAATAACAGCATATTTCAACGAGCACTTCCAACTAGATTTATATGTAAGAGATCAGAGCAGAGCACCTGAACTCCATGCAGGTCTCAGGTTCAAATCTCAAGCATGCCCGCATGCAGAAGGTCTCAGGTTCAAATCTCAAGCATGCCCAGAGAAAAAAACATGACTTATATCCTATAAAGTTGCTGCCAATAGGAGATAGCAAGAAACTACATGGACAACTTATCCAAACCCAGGATAAGGCTGGCTTTTGTGATCGTAAACTTTCAGGGGCTGAAAGTTTATGATCTGAGCAACGGAACATCTGATTTAATATCAGCTGACACTCCACTACTGTTTTATGCAACCCACTAAGTTTCAATACTTTGGCTTTTCATATCTAGTATTGCCATAAATATTTGACAGAAATGAAAAATTAGAAGGAACCAGAAGGGTCATCCATTCCAACCTTCTGCCAATGCATGAAATCCACAGGTTCTAATACAGCATTAAGAATTAGTATGAGACATAATTATGAAACTAGTTTTCAGCTTGTTATTATTTAATGTAGCACATCTAAGCCTTCCATATTTGCAAAAATTACTATGAATCTTTTGGGCTTAAAAGATCCCAAAGACATCTCTCAAAAGTGTAACGGAGGACAGCTAAGGAGTGTGATTCTTAACACACAAGTTGCACAATGCTCCAAGGGTGTTACTCTCACGCAAGCACTGCTGCATAGGAGAGAAATGATATTGTGCAGCCTCTTATCATAATTTTGGCGAAACTTCTGTGAGACCCTCTGAATTTAATACTAAAAGATATTCAGCAAGCATCTAAAATTTTAATGCCAACAGTCATCATGAAACGATCCCACATCCTTCTGATCCTACCAACATACAAGTGTGATGAATTATTTGTGAGCATACATCTAGTTCATCATTCAAAATGAGCACCTGCTTTTCATTCACTGTCTCTAATTGCTGCCTTCTAGTTTCATTAGGCGCCATCGTCCTGTCATAAGAATAGATCTCAGGCCCATCTTCTGACCACAACTTAAGAGCCATGGAAGCCAGCAAGATATGGACCCTCCCCTGCAGCTCCAGTAATTTGGATGTTTCAGCCTAGTCCAGAGAGACCAATGTGGTGTGCACATGCCTCATGATATAGAACTGTCCAATGTCAGTATTGCCCCTGTTTCCTGGAAGAGTGACGTTGGCCATGAGGAAGAGTTGTGTATCTGGGATTCCTGAGGTTATCAGAGCAGCACAGAAAGGACTTAAATGGGAAGAGTTCCCACATTGCTAAAGAAATGGCAGACAGGGACCCCTTGACAAAGCAGTTTAACGGACTCTTAAGCACTGCCCCACTGCTAAGAACTCTGCTTTAAAACAAACATTCTATTAGGAAGAAAAAAACACAGACAAAAAAGCACCAGGAATTCCCACTAAACACCAATACAAACACATAACAAACAGTAGAAAAACTATCTGTTTAAATATATACAAATTTCTCAAATACTGCTTTATTTAATGCTTTTGAGGGGGATTTTTATATACCTCTGTGTGTATCTAGCAATGAGGTGATGAAGAATCCTTTACGTACAATCTATTGCAACAGCCGAGGAAGAACTGTAAACTCTAGTATGGAAAATTTTCTGTACCAAAAGAGAAAAGAAAAAAAGAAGAGAAAGAAATCCTAATTATGTTCTTGAAGTAGAGACGGCCTTTTTTGCTTTTGGAAAATGCACAGGGGATGGGGGGGGGGGCAGGTCATTTTTCAGTCGAACTCATTCGTTTGGATTTGATGAAGGCCATCCCATGTGTCCTCATGTGGGTGTTTAAGGCAGCTTCAGTTTCAAACGTCTTTGCACAAACTTTGCACTTCCTGTCAGAAATGGCGTTGTCAGATGACTCCTCCTCGCGACTGGGTTTGTTTTCCTGCTGACTATCTTCCCCAGATCCGTTCTGTTTCGAGACTGGCTGAGGTTCCTTCAGTTTATGCACGATGAACAAATGCCTGGAGAGAGAGACGTGGGAGGTATAACAGAGACCACATTCCCGGCATTGGTAAGAAGAGCCATCGGATTTGTGCTGGGGAATATGTTCATGAAATTGAAGCAGGTTCTCTGTTGTGAAGCCACAAACTGCACATTTGTGAACTTTAAAAACATTGATCTTCAATTTCTTCAACGGCTGAGTGATGGCACCTCGAGGGGGCCTGAATTCCAGCACAGGCTCCTCCAGCTTACGCTTCGGACTGGGAACCTGAAGTTGATAACAGGTCCGTTAAAAAGGGGGTAAAAATCAACTGGAGTCATGCAGTTATTCTCAGAAAGACTCAGCGTCTGTCCTCAAAATAAATCAAAGGGCATATCTGAGCAAAGGCGCATTTACACAATAAGCTGGAATGAAGGACAGGTTGCTTACCTGCAACTGTAGTTCTTCAACGAATTCACACCTATGGGTTTTTCTGCACCTGCACAAAACTCTTCAGAACATTCTAGAGCTTACACAGAGAGCCATCTGAATACCCTTCCATACTGCACACATATCTGCATGTCCAACAATTCTCCTTCTGTCCCCCCAGTCCGCTGCCATACATGAAACATTTTAGTAGCATGGGAGACTACTAAGAGGATATGTGGGTTGTGTGAATTCACAGAGGACCACTCAAAGAACTACAGTTACAGGTAAGTAACTTGTCCTTCTTTGTGGTCTCTGTGAATCACACATATGGGTGACTAGCAAGCTCACTTACTGGCTGGTGGCCTATCATGGGAATACAGAAGAAATCACATTTCTACCCAATATGGCATTGAGCTCAACCCTGACATCCATAGTGTTTGATGAACGTAGAGGGTTGAGACCACGTTGGAGTCTTACTGATGTCTCTTGGGGGATTCCTTTAAGAAAGGCTGTTGAGGTAGCAACAGCTCTAGTTGAGTGACCTTTTACAGGTTCAGCAAGTCATCTTTTTGCCAGCTGGTGACACAACCTGATGATGTTGACAAGCCACTTTGACAGACCCTGGGGCATTAACTGAGCCCCGATCCTCACACTCTGATAACTAACAAAAATGAATATGTTTAGCCTTAGTATTGCAACTTAGTATTGTGACTTTATTTCTGTAAAATTGTAGGGTCAGTCATGCTGGGGAATGAATAATTTCCTTGTGTGATGTACTAATGTAATGACTAACAAGAAAACACCTTTATATGTAAGAAGGCTGAGATCTGCCATGGGAATGAAAATTGTGTTTGAGCTTTCTTGTTGGAGTTTCAACACTGCCTCTGCAGCAGAGGTATTGATCGGAAACGATGATTAAGATTTTTCAATCATCAGATCATGAAGGCATCCCCTAGCAAACCTGGACCCAGCCTGATTGCAAGCAGTATTTTTGGCACTTCTTACTGTCTTTTGTAACAAGAAGGTCTACAGCTAGTAGATTCTATCAGCTGCAAATTCTGCTGAAATGGTCCGGTGCTGACTGACTGCTCAGATTGTCACTCGGTTGCATTCTCCTGCCGATGATTAGCTATTGGAAAATGTGGCAAACCAGGCCCTATTCCCAGAGATGGACTGTCAAAAACAAGAGAGACACTGGATGTGTTCCACTCTGTTTGTTTATGTAGTACATATTATTGTTGTTGTAAGTGGCCACTGGTACTACCTTGCCCGAGATAAGATAAGAGTCTCAAGGGCCTTGAAAGCTGTTAACACTAATACAGTGGTCCCCAACCTTGGGCCTCCAGATGTTCCTGGACTTCAACTCCCAGAAATCCTGGCCAGCAGAGGTGGTGGTGAAGTCCTCTGGGAGTTGTAGTCCAAGAACATTGGAGGCCCAAGGTTGGGGACCACTGCACTAATAGAAGTTCTAATCTGTTTATGTGCATTTGTCTCTCTGTCCTGGACCAAAGAGCATGTACTTGACAATTCATGCAGTGAGTGCCCTTGCCTATACGACTTGCATCAGTTGTTACCTGGACTTTTGAGTCTGAGAGGTTTTAAAAGGCCTCTCTATGGTTACATTGGGAGTAACTCCACCAATGGAGTTGTAAACCTAACTAGGGAGTCATAGTTAATTTTTTTGTAGACCTTTCGGACGATACATCAAAGGATGCCAAATACCAGGTCTGAAAATATCTCAACTACAGGTGAACATGTGGGATAACAGACATTGTTGAGACCATTAGTCCCAGTAGTCTCTGGGCCATGTATGCTGTCACTGTTGCACGTGGCTTGAATTTCTTCAGTAAGGATATATGTTTCTGTTTCCTGTTCTGTGGTAGGCAAGCCCTCGCAGTTCTGGACTTCAGCAGCACATTGACATGATGAAACTTCATGTGGTTTTAAATTTGATTTGTCTAGATTCACTCTGGGACCAAGATCCTCCAGCATACGTAAAAGGAACAAGATGTCCTGTTGTGCCTTGACCTTGGAATTTGCTACTTTCAGCCAGTCGTCTACATACAGGAGGAAAATCACACTGTGAAGTCTCTTGTAAGCAGCAACCAGTGCCATACACTCAGTAAAAATTCTAGCTGCTGTGGAAAGACCAAAGAGGAGCACCTTGAATTGTAGATATGGTTGCTTAGTGCAAAGCGTAGGAAACAACAATGATATGAACAGATAGTGATATGGAAAGAGATATCTTTTGGATCTATCACAGAGAACCAGCCTCCTTTCCTGAGTGGTGGCAATATTTTTTCCAGAGTTACTATCCTGATTTTTTTTTATTTTTTGCTTCCATGTAGGAATTTACATTTGTCCAGTCCAAGATGGGTTTCAGGCCACCATCTTTCTTTGGACCATAGAATAACAGAAATAGAATCCAAAGAGGAGCATATCTAAAGGAACAGGCTTTTCTCAGGAGTTATATGACTTCTTCCTGTAATACCTGAGACAGGCCATAGGCCTGAAGATGCCTGTGGGAGGTAAAGATGTAAATTCTATAGCACAGCCCTTATCAATGATGGTTAAAACCCATCTGTCATTGGTAATGGTGTGCCGGCTTGGTAGGAAAAATGACAAAGGCCTCAGAATGAAAGTAAAAAATAATGGTGATAATAATAATGGTAAATATATATGTATATTTTAAGGGGGGAATCATGGAGTAGAAAGAAAACAAAGAAAGGTGACAAGGACAAAAAAAAGAGGTAAGTTTTGAAAGAAGTCCGTTAAATAATAGCACTAAGCAAACATCCCAGACATTTCCTCAGTGGTTGCTAAAGGGAACCGAAGGGCAATTGTTAGGTGCATGGATAAGTGCAGTAGGGATGAGGCTAATGTCATTCCTGCTATTCTAATCTCTCTCTGTTTAAGTTCTAGAATGTTCCAAAGAGTTTTGCTCAGGGACAGAAACACCCATATGTGTGATTCAATAAGAAGAACCAACCAAAGCAACTGACAGCAAGTTCAGACATTTAAAAAAAATACCTTCTTCCCACAGGGTGTAATTAATAAATTCATAAATGGTTTAGGGCCTGAATATTTAAAGAAGTGCCTCTCCCTATATATATCAGCCTGATCACTAATATCTTCTGGGGAGGCCTCCTCTATATCTTACCACTGAGGAAAAGCTTACCGTGAGGAGACATGGGGGAGGGCTTTCTTTGACACACCGCCCTTTGGAGGCTCACTTGGTGCCGACATTGGCATAATTTCACTGAGAGGTCAGAAATTATTTATTATAGCCTTTGGTAGTTGAAGATTTTGGCCTGTACAGGTTTTAATGTAATGGTTTCAATGTTTGAATATTGGAGGTCAATATTTTGCCATGGGGATTTTCTGGGTTAGGTACACACACACAGCATCCAGAAGTGACTGGAAGAATAAATGTTATAGGATTATAGACGATATATAGGAGGCCCCCTGATCTATTTAAAAGGAGTACTGATGATGATGGAGACTTGTGTCAATTCATGTTTGTTTTTGTTGGGAAAAAAAAATCATTTTGCCTGATGTCCAGAGCAATTTAGAGATGCAGGGCTGCAAAAACAGACAAGAACACACTTTGTTTACTCCTGCTCTACACCGTCCAACTCAGATCTGGTGCAAGAAGACAGAATTTCAGCAAGCTGAAAGGTCTAGAAATTATTTAACAGACATACATACACCCAACCAGTACACACACACCTCACCTTAGTTTCTTCTTTGACTGCACTATCCCCTATGCTGGTTGATTCTGTCATCTCTTTCACATCAGGCTCCTTGATGCCATGCATCAGTTGAATATGTTTTTCTAGCATCAATCGCTTGGTAAAAGTACGCCTTGAATCTGGGCAATGCCTGAATGAAATGCAAGGAAATCATCAATAGATACAAAGAAGTATGAAAAGCCATACAATTTCCAGAGGTACTGAAAAAGAAAATGGAGAGACTCAACACTTGCAATATGCACAACGAATGTAAACAACATGTCTAAGCAAGCTGCTGCAGTACATACAAGACACTGAGAGACTAAGCAAGGACAAGATACTACCGCATTGGAAAAAACCCTGGGGCATCCTAAGGGACGCTTCCAGTTCCAATAAGCCTGAACATCACCATGAAAATGCACCTTGGATACTATCTCATTATCATTTGAAACATGTGATCTTCATGTCTTCATGTGACTCAACTAATTAGATAAACTAATTAGATAAATTGGGCCCTTCACTAGCAGAAGACCAGTTTTTTTTTAAAAAATGGAACAATGTTCACAATGAACATAAAGAGGACACTCCGTTCAGGTGACAGCCATTGGTCTTGCTTGCTCTGCAATCTTTAAAAGAGAGGTACAGTAGTAAGAAGCAGGACTTACGAGCATTCGTAAACTTTCCGAATGCCTTTGTGTTTGATCCGATTGTGGCGGCAAAGACTGTGTGATGAACTGAAAGACTTGTCACACTGCCGACAAGGATGTTTCTTCATTTGCTTTAATGAAAGGAAATGATACATTTAGAAGTTCTGGGGAGGAAAACACAGGAATGGTTTTTACCAGTAACTATGACTTGCTGAACATCCACTCCTCCTCCAAAGTAATGCTGCAAGAAGAACACACACCCCACAGCACTGTTTCAAAGCAATGGGTTGGACCTGCACTTAGCCATACTGAAAGCAGGGCCACTTACATTCCGTTAGTTCCACTGATTTCAATCTGTTTATTCTATGAATAAGTTTGGATCCGATCCAAAGTGTCCACTAGAAGGAGTAAGAAGACATACACAATTGTCTCTGGAAAGCTATTGGAGTAATTTCCCCCTTTTTGTTCAATACTAATTCTGATACTCGATACCCAGTGTGGTGTAGAACAGTGGTTCACAACAACACTGGGTCCCCAGATGTTATTTGACTACAACTTCCAGAAATCTTGGCCAGCACAGCAAAGGGTGAAGGTTTCTGGGAGTTTTAGTCCAAAAATATCCAAGAATCCAAGGTTGGGAATCACTGGTGAAGTGGATAGAGTGATGAACTAGGATTCAGGAGGCCTGGGTTCAAATTCTCATTCAGTCATGGAGACTCTCTGGGGGTGTGGAACTGGCAAAACGACTCCTTAAATATCTCACTTACCTGCCATACGTTGGTTCCAACTTGACAGCACAAAACATTACAATAGCCCCCCAGAATGGTCAATTGACCAGATGGGCAGGATATAGAAAGAAAGAAAGAAAGAAAGAAAGAAAGAAAGAAAGAAAGAAAGAAAGAAAGAAAGAAATAGAATGAACTGGAGTGATGGATAGAAGAACACAAAGTATGGGTGTAAGCAGGAAGAAACCCTCCTTTGTAATCTTTCTCAGTTACCCATTCAATCAAAAATTAACTAGACTGGCAACCAGCTAAGAAATGCAAAAGGCATCACATAGGAAGCCAGTTGATATATCAAAGGCAACATATAGATGCAGTAGATTTGTATTTTACATTTTCCATTCTCTGTACTTGTATCTTGCCATTGGGTGATTCTTGCATTTGCCTCAGACCCACATACAAAATATATATACTGTAATAAAGAAATGGAGCCTCTTTGTACCGAGGCCATATACTCTACCATATGAGATGACAGGGATCTATAATAGGAGAAGTCATAGCCTTCCTTCCGTTTTATGAGCTACCAGAAGCATTTAACTGGTTCAGTAAGAAACAGTACTAATCTAACATTAGCATTCCTCAAACACTGGATGAGGATAATGGGAGTTATAGTCTCAAGACATCTGAAGGTGCAAAGTTTGGGGCAGTGAAAGGATGACTCTGATTGGGCAAGAAAACTCTTTATGTCAATCTCTGAGGTGGTCCTAAGTAGTTTGTCTTCTTCTGTGGGACTGGCCTGCCTTACTACCTTTGCTTGTCTCAGACTGGGAAGGTTCAAAACCCAAGGCAATTTGGTGTTTGCTAAGAAACTTCTGAAGCTTTCTCTGAATGGCTGCCACAATTGATCACAGCACAAGCGATAAGCTGTAAGTGGGAATCTGTAGGAAGCTTGGAATACCAAGGCCCATGTCATCCAAGAAGAAGCAATGCACAGCTGGAACAAATATTTTTAGCCATCCACCCACATCCATGAACTCATCCTACTACCCAATTCACTACCCTCATTCTTGCCAACCTTTGCCTTTGAAAGCTGTCATATGACTATTTCCTTATGGTATCTCTCACCCACGAGACCCCTGTTTTTCTAAGAGGTTTCTTCTGTCTATACCAACATCTTTAAGCTTATTACATTTTCACAGTATTTCCCATGTGGTATCTGTTATGCTTTCTCCCCACACTCTCTAACTACTGCAGGCAAGAACACCGACACGATTTTTTATTAGGTTTACTCATGCCTAGAGGTTTGTGCTGTGTATCAATCATGAAAAATTATGAGTTTCTCTTCTCTTTTCCTTTTTAATTTTGCTACTTCACAAACACCTTTTTGGCATGGCAGAGACAGCAATCGAAAGGAGGCTTAAGACAACCCATTGATACCTGTTTAGATAAGCAGGAGTATGACACACTGTTCCCATATGCAGTGCTCCTGTTCAGGGTTCCAGATACAGCGGTGCCTCGACTTACGAACTTAACCCGTTCCAGATCGGAAGATGGGCATAACTCGAAATGGTCGTAAATCGAAGCACCATTTCCCATTGAAATGCAATTAATCTGTTCTGGCCGAAGAAAAAACAATCAGCCCCCCCCTCAAAAAAACCACTGCAAGACCAATCGGAAACACGATTAATCCGGCTGAGGGGGTGGGGGAGAAAAGCAAGCAGAGCATGCAAAGGGGGGGGGAAGCAAACAGAGCATGCAAGACACATCGGAAATGGGGGAAAAGCAAAGCAAAAAAGCAAGCAAAGCATGTAAGACACGATGGTTGTTGTGGGTATTTCGGGCTCTTTGCCATGTTCTGAAGGTTGTTCTTCCTGACGTTTCGCCAGTCTCTGTGGCCGGCATCTTCAGAGGAACAGGAGTAGGAACTCTGTCCATGCTCTGTTGCTGTTTGTTTTGTAGTTGAGTATTTATAGCTGTGGGAACAGCTTTTGTCCTTTTCAGGAGTTAGGGTGATGATGGTGATCAGCGTGTTTCTGTTGGAGATGTATTGTTGTGATAAGGGAGGGAGAAATTATCTGTCACTGTGATTGATGGTTGTCTTTAGCTGGTCTTTTGTATGCAATGATCCCTGGTCCTTGCGGCTGGGTAGAGTTCATTGACCTTTTGCAGGCTGTATTTTCCAGTGCTGGGAGCCAGGCGTTATTACGTTTTAGACTTTCCTCTTTTTTGTTGAAGCTCTGTTGGGGTTTATGGATTTTAATGGCTTCCCTGCGCAGTCTAACATAATGATTGCTGGTGTTGTCCAGTACTTCAGTATTTTGAAAAAGAATTTCATTTCTAGCTTGTTTTAGGGCATGTTCAGCTACTGCTGGGTGGGCTCCGAATTGAAATTGAAAGTCTAAAACTTGCTACTCCAGTCCTCTGATGATGCCGGCCACAGAGACTGGCGAAACGTTAGGAAGAACAACCTTCAGAACATGGCCAAAGAGCCCAAAACCCCCACAACCACCACTGCTAAAAGTTCTTGGGATGTTCGTCCCGGGATATAAACCATGTGACCACAATTCAGTAAAAGAAAGGTATAGAAAGTATCAGAAGACCTAGAAAACATTTCCCTCATGTGAAAAAGGTGTTTGTCTTTGAATTCCTTCTTCCTCCCCTTCACAGATGTCACTCAATTTTTTTTCCAGAGGACAACCAATTCTCTGGAGTAGATTTAGAACATATTCATGTGAGCAAATGACCAAACTCATCTTGGTAATGGTACCTTTTCCAACCATGGATAGACACAGTTGGATATAACCCAGTAGTCTCTTCTGGAGTCTCCTTCGTTTCTTCTTTTTCTTTGAAAGATTTATTTTTTAAATTCCTATCAACCTTCTTGCCCACTGATAGCCATCTCATCTGGTGCTGTGCCTACATAAGGATCCACCTTAAGGTGATTAGGTGTCTATTAATAAATAATACAGTGCCATTTCCCAACTGGATACTTGTGCAAATCCAAGTAATTGACCAGTTTGCGTGCATGATCCCTAAATATACCCTGTATATAGGGTTACAAATTTGGCTTGGACCTTCTCTGCAGTGTTAAGGTTGAGCTCCAAGTAGCACAAGCTAGTGATACAGTATAAGCTGGTGCAAGTACATAAGCAGAGTTCTCTCTCCCAGTTGCACCCAGACGCAAGATACCCCAGGCTGTATAGTTTTTGGTGAACTGCACAGTCCCACAGTGTCACCAGAAAGAGAGACTGGCAAAAGACTTCTAAATATTGTATGCCTAGAAAACTCTGGGAAGAATTTTGCCACAGCAGATGTGAAGGGCTACGGGAAACAGCAAGTCAAGCACTGTTTGAATTCTAAAATCTTTTCATCCTTAGGATAATGTTTCACAAACTGGGGTACAGACCATCCAGGAAGGGAGATGGAACAAGAGTGGGTGTAGACATATGGGTTAGGAACAACTTTGATGGATCACCAAAGAGGTCTGTGGGTAAAAGTGTCTGGCCTGGAAGTACTGAAAGTGAGTTGTAACGTGTTTCAAAGCATAATATTCCTTTTCTCATCATCATCATCAAAACGTATGAGTCAACTAATGGTCATAATATTATGTTCTCACAATGTGTATAAAATTAATTGTTGGTTAAAAACTGCCTTGAGAAGGCTTTGTCCCCAAAGGCAGTATATGAGTATTTAAATAAATAAAGCTTTAGTTGATTAAGAGGTTAACAGCTAGTCTTAATCAGCTGAGACTGAAACTGAGTCTTATGGCTTTTGAAAGATGTTTTAATACTTGCATGCTGCTGTAGAGAATGCAAAAAAAGGCCATATGCAGTCCAGCACCAGGGTACACTGGAGGGGCGGTGGGGGGAGTAGCCATTGTTATAGAAACACTCTGGAAGTTGGTAGGCGCTCTACAGTGGTGAAGCCAGGTCTGTAGGCCCTCCATGTGTCGATTGGGGCCAGGGATGGTATTGGGATCTTGCTGGGTTACTGCGCTCCCCACGAACCAGCCATTTCCTTACCGGAGCTGGCCGACTTTGTCTCTGTGGCACTGTTGGAATCCCCGAGGCTTTTGGCCTTGGGTGATTTCAACATCCATGCGGAGGCAGAGGTTTCCGATCCAGCTCTTGAGTTCTTAGAAACCATGACTTCCTTGGACATGTCCCAACACGTTAACGGCCCCACCCATGTGGGTGGTCACATGCTAGACCTGGTGTTCTCCACTGAGTGGAGTGAGTGTGGTCTGATGGTAACTGACCTTGTGTCAGTTCCCTTGTCATGGTTGGATCACCACCTAATAAAATGTAACCTCTCAGTGGCTCTCCCTCCCCGCAGGGAGCAGAGACTTATTTTAATGGTCCACCCTCGAAGGCTACTGGATCCTATAAGATTCCAGGATTCCATGAGAGGGATTCCAGCTGATCTGATTTGAGCTCCTGTCGAGGCTCTGCTTGATGGCTGGCTTACTGCCGCCACCAGGGCTGCTGACACGATCACTCCTAAACATCCTCTCCATTGCAGAGCTCAGCCAGTGCTCTGGTTTAACCAGCAGCTGTGAACTATGAAGCAAAACAGGAGAAGGCTAGAGTGCATTTGGAGACAGAACCTGGCGGATTATAATCAGAAAGCTGTTAGGATTGCAACTAACCACTATCTTTCTAAGGTAAAAGGGATGTGGTCGCTCTGCAGGTTAAACTGCAGAAGCCTCTGTGCTGCAAGGTCAGAAGACCAGCAGTCATAAGATTGAATCCACACAACGGAGTGAGCTCCCGTCGCTTGTCCCAGCTCCTGCCAACCTAGCCATTTGAAACCATGTAAAAATGTGGGTAGATAAATAGGTACCACCTTGGTGGGAAGGTAATAGCATTCTGTGTCTAATCGCGCTGGCCACGTGACCACGGAAACTGTCTTCAGACAAACGCTGGCTCTACGGCTTGGAAGCGGGGATGAGCAATGCGCCCTAGAGTCAGACATGACTAGACTAAATGTCAAGGGGAAACTTTACCTTCTAAGGTGAGGGCTGCTAGTCGAGCTGACTTCGCTGTCCAGATAAGTGAACCTTCAAATCAGCAGGCGGAACTTTTCCTTATAGTTCGCGATCTATCCAGAGTTGGTCTAAGTGATGGGCTTCCTACTAGTATCTCACCTGTCCAATTTGCAGCATTTTTAAAATCTAAAGTGGAGGCCATCCGCTGGGAGCTCTCTCCTTTTTCAAACACAGTAGATCAAACAGAGACGTCCAGCACTCCACCTTGCCCGATGAGACTCGATTTCTTTCAGCCTGTGATGCCAGATATGGTGGACAAAGTGCTTGACTGCTGTCGTGCCACCACCTCCTCCCTTGACCCTTGCCCAGCCTGGCTAATCAAAGCATCAAGGCCTATAACAACCGAATGGACCACGGCAATAATTAATGGGTCTCTCCAGGAGGGCAAGGGGAACCTTGCCCTCAAGGAGACACTCATTAGGCCCATAACGAAGAAACCAAGCTTGGCGGCGGAAAACATTGGCAATTATAGGCCCGTCGCCAATGTTTCTTTCCTTAGCAAAGTGGTAGAGAAGGTGGTGGCTGACCAGCTCCAGGCCCTTTTGGATGAAACCAACACTCTGGATCCATTTCAGTCGGGCTTCAGGCCATGCCACTGTACGGAAATGGCATTGGTTGCCCTGTTTGATGACCTGCTGAGGGAGGCCAACAGGGGCAAAATGTCTTTCTTGGTCCTCCTCGATATCTCAGCCGCCTTTGATACCGTCAACCACGGTATCCTTCTGGAGAGGCTCTCTTGAGCTGGGAATTGGTGGTCTGGCGCTTGCCTGGCTCCAATCCTTCTTGGAGGACCATCCTCAGAGTACAGCCTGGAGAGACTGTTTCAGCCCCATGGAGCCTCAATTGTGGGGTTCCACAGGGCTTGATTATCTCCCCAATGCTGTTTAATATCTACATGAGGCCGCTGGGTGGGGACATCAGGGGGTGTGGGGCTTCATGCCATAAGTATGCTGATGACACCCAGCTCTGTATCTTCTTTTCTCCAACCACAGTGGATGCTGTTCCATCCCTCCAGCGCTGCCTGGAGGCTGTAATGCAATGGATGCAGGAGAATGGACTGAGGCTGAACACAGACAAGACGGAGGTCCTGAGGGTGGGTGGTCTCTCCATTGGTGGTTTGGGAAACTCCCTCTCTTTTGGGGGAGTGACTCTCACTGCGAAGAGTGAGGTTCGCAGCTTGGGGGTCCATCTGGATCCGG